AGAGAGAGAGAGAGAGAGAGAGAGAGAGAGAGAGAGAGAGAGAGAGAGAGAGAGAGAGAGAGAGAGAGAGAGATGCCTGCATACCATTATCTTCTTCTTTCTTGTTTTTTGGACACCCGCGCAAAAACCAAAAAAAAAAGAACTCCCTTTCCTTCTCCCCGCTCTTCTTTGCTCCCCCCTCTTCCGCGGCCGCAGCGTCGCTGCGGCGGGTCCACTTGTTGTCATTATAGTATTACGGGGAACCCCGTAGCAGCCACATCCTCTCACCTCACATATTTTGAACTGGCGTTCTGCCAGCCCATGGAACATATCTTTCTTTCACTACCTACCTACCACTACTCCTAAGGCTATACAGGGACCCCTGCAAGCATAGCTTTCCATGTTTGCCCCTTTCTTGGCGCCCTTTTTTTTGGGCGGGAAAGAATCGTCTTTTGTCAAACATCACGGAGTGTAGATGTTAGATGATGACCGGCGACAGACGTTCCGAAAAGTCATACGCCGCATTGAGGAAGGAAGGGCGTATTCACACGATGACTTTTTTTTACTGATTTCTGGACGCAATTGCGATCAGATACATCCGGGTTCCGGCCGTAAATGCGGTGACAAGGGCCTCTTTCCACACCACTCGAAACTCAAGGATTTCTTTACAAGAGAGTGCTGGTGTGAGTACGTCCTTAGTCTTTTGACATTCATCAAGTCTTTTTGCTTCGGTGATTGGCTGATTGGCTTGATTAACCAAGTTGGGGGGACAGTGTGTGTCACTGTCTGTGTGTCTGTGTGTGTGTGTGTGTGTGTGTGTGTGTGTGTGTGTGTGTGTGTGAAGAGGTCGTCAGATTACCAGCTGTCGCGATGCTGGAGGGACGAACGACCTCTTATGGAAGTGATCCTAGTGTCTCTATATCCTCCTCATAAAAGACGACTAGGTGGATTGTCGGGGTCGGGATACAGTCGTTGTCGGGATACAGTCGTTGTCGGGATACAGTCGTTGTCGGGATACAGCTGTCTTCTTTTCTACTAGATCGTATGAGCGAAGACAGCCCATTTCATAAAAAAAGGGCGTTTGTCGTTAGTCAAGTCTTTTTGCTTGGCTGCTTGGCTGATTGACTGATTAATCAAGTGTCATACAAAAGGGCTTTTGCCGTTAAGCAAGTCTTTTCGCTTGGCTGATTGGCTGATTGGCTGAATGGCTGATTAATCAAGTCGGGACAGGCTGTGTGTAGTAAGTATATAGGTGGAGTGTGGCAGGTGTCGGGGTACCAGCTGCGATTTGCTGATTGGCTTGATTAATAACGTCGGGACAGGGTGTGTGTAGTATAGTTGGTGTGGCAGTTGTCGGGTTACCAGCTGCGGCTTGCTGATTGGGCTGATTCATCAAGTCGGGGCAGGGGGTGTGAAATACGTACGCGGACTTCGCCCGGTCGTCGCGGTATCAGTCAGGATGCTGGAAGATTACGTTATCCTGCGCCGGTGTGGAGGCGGTCGCCATGGGACGGTGAGCCGTGCGACAAGGAAGGCAGATGGGAGAGCGTGCGTGGTTAAGGTGGTGTCGCTCGATTGGGTGAGTTATAAGGACAAGGAGGAGGCGCTGAACGAGCTCAGAGTGATGGCTACCCTCTGCCATAGTCATGTGATTCGCTACTTAGACTCATTCATTGAGAACGAAGCGTTGTGCATCGTGATGGATTACGCGGCAAATGGCGATCTCTCGAGTTTTATATCGAAGAAAAGGGTGGAGAGGACGGAAGGGTTGAGGATGAGGGAGGAGGAGAGGGAGATGATGACGACGGGCGGCGCGACAGGATTCCAGCGGCAGCCGCCATCGCCTCTGGAGGTCGAAGGTCTGGTTGATGAAGATTGGCTATGGAAGATGCTCGTGGAGATCGGACAAGGATTGCAATACCTTCACGCGCGCAGAATTCTCCATCGAGACATCAAACCCTCGAACATTTTCCTTGACGAGAACAATAATGCGATGATTGGCGATTTGGGTCTGAGCCGAGTTCTGGATCCGCACGCGATATTCGCCCACACGGAGGTCGGAACGCCTCTCTACTTCTCTCCGGTAAGTAACACGATTTTGCTCACATACCCTCTCTCCCACTTCCCTCCCTCTCTCTCTCATATGCCGAGAGCCGAGCTCTGCTTTCGCGGCATCGCTCCCTCTCTCCCTCTCTCCCACTTCTCTCCCTCTCCCTTTCTCTCTCTCTCGGCATTGCTCCGTCTCTACCTACCTCTCTCTCACTCTCTCCCGCCCTCGCCCTCTTCCTCCCTCTCTCTTGGAATCGGGCCCTCTCTCTCCCTCTCCCTCCGAATCGCGCCCTCCCTCCCTCCCGCCACCAGTCCCTTTATCCCTCTCTCCCGGCATCGCTCCCTCTCTATCCCTCTCTCCTGGCATCGCTTCCTCTCCCTATCCGATCGCTTCCTCTCTTCGTCTCTGCCTCTCTCCCCCTCTCGGCATCGCTCCTTCTCCCCTTCTCTCCCTCTCCCTCACTCTGCCCCGCCGCACTTTCTCCCATCCTATGTCTGCCTCCTGCTCCTCTTCTCCTTTTTCTCCCTCGTCTTCTGCTTCTCCGTCAGTCCATCCACCTGCAGCCACACGCAGATCCGTACTAAATGGTCAGTAAATTTTAGTTTAACTTTTGCTCAAAAAAAATTCATGGATTTACAAATGCACACAAACAGGCCGCTGCACCGATGGTCACCGTAGAACGTCGCAGTCGAAACTCATAGGGCAGCGAGACATCAGCTGTCATGTCTGGAGCGGTCAGTCGCGTGCATCGACCGTCACCCCCCAAATCATAATGTCTGTCAAACCGGGGGCTCACGAAATAAAGGGGTCAGCGATGATCAAATCGAACCACATAGATCAAATTGAACCATGTAGAAAGAAAAAAAAAAAAAGAAAAAAAAAAAGAACCACGTAGATCGGGCTTGAACTAGGGTAAAACATGATTGGCCAAAAAAATAGAACTCACGGAAGACCAACTTAAATCACGAAAAACGCTCCTTTTTATTATTCTTTAATTTATTCTCTATTCTTAATTTAGCCGCGAACATAAATAGGCTACTACCGGTAGTAGGGCAATTAGTCCTTATTTTCCTTATTTTCCTTATTTTCCTTATACTCAAAATCTGAGTAAAACAACAATTAGTCCTTATTTTCCTTATTTTCCTTATACTCAAAAATTGAGTAAAACAAAATAACTTTCCACACAAAAGTAGGGTTAGTGTCCGCAAATGATCCGACCGAAAACCGGGGTCGACCTGGCACCCCGTTTTCCGACCACTGTCAAATGAAGGTGTGGACAAAAAGGTGTCGAGAAAAATGCACCCCATCAACTGACGCAGACCTTAAAATCCATCAATGCACCCCGTCAACAACTGACGCAGACCTTAAAATCCATCATTTCGGGTGGCCGACTGTATTTGGCTGCCCGACACCGATACGAGAAAAGACGGTCCTCCAGAACTTATGGCAGTGTACAGGGCGTGATGTTTTTTTTGGCTTACTGAGCTGGCGGGAACCAGTTGGATTCGTTCGGCCGCGAAAACATCAGGTTCGGCAATCTTTAAGAATGTTGGACTTGTCGCCATGCACCTGGTCCAGAGAGCGTCCAAATGCATGTAGAGTGTTGTGTAGTGGAGCAAGGGCCCGGTGACTTGAAATGGGAGTGTGGCAGTTACCTGAACCAGGCAGGCTTGACTCACCACTGCCTGAGCCTCCTACCAACAGTTGGGATCTGCCACATTGGACTATGGGGGTCGCCGCACGGGACACGAAACGAGTGCATCTTCCTGCAGAAAATGGCCAGGTTCATCGGTTTGCTATAAATAGTAACGAGTGTATTTTGCCACCTTTCGTGGGCAGATGCACTCGTTTCGTTTTCGTTTCGTGTGCCGTGCGGCGAGACCCTATGAAAGACAATGTTGATCGGGCAGAACGGTTGGCCCTTGCTGCTGAATACACAACTCCGCCTTAAACAACCGATACTTCGGAGGCACTTTTCTCCGGGGTTGGAAACGTGCTGTGCGCCCCCAAAAAAATGAACTGGCGTGAGCCTCCTTTTGGCTGGCATCCCCAGCCATTTTGCTCCGGCGGCGGAGGCCCGAACGGCGACTTCTTAAATGATTGGGAAACGTACTGGTGGTGCGTCATTCCTAATCCAGCCCTTATCTCACAGGGACACTCATGCCCAAGCCTTGACTTGCCTCACCAGTGCGGCAATCTCACTTCAACCTACAGTCTGACTTCTCTATCTTCTTCTTAAGCTCTGGATCTACTCTGCTGCTCAATGATGTTGTACAGGGTGACGATCACACTTCAGGAGTTCGGCTTACATGAGATGTGAACATGGATTCCTTCCTCCCTCCCTCCTCCCTCCCTCAAAAAAGTCACTGAAGACAGTGCAA